TTTAGCCCTTCTCCCTTCCCTCTCCTCCTCTTTTCAGTTGTATAGGAATGTACTACGATATTTTCCCCTTTCTTAATATTTTTCCTTTTTATTTAATAAAAATATTTCTTAAAATTTCCATGATACTTTTCTTCAGAACTATGTTTAATGTAGTTTTCAGTTCCATATAGTTTTTCAAGTTAAAAGATTTTAATCTATGTGAAAATCAAGAGGGAAACTAACGTACTTCCTTCCCTTATGACTCTCCACACGCTAATGGGGAAAGCATGCGAAGTGTCGCCATAGGTCGAGAGTTCTGCTCTACCCCACCTGCAGCCCATTTCAATCACCAATTTTGGATTCTCATTTTCCCTCGACGATAATCGGAAGGAGGTTAATAGGATGCAGTGAGACTGGCCTTTAAAAAAGTTTTGAGTAATTGCAGTCGTAATTGTTTGAAGTAATGTATTGTTTGAAGTAATGTAATGTATATAAATGTGCTATGGATGGTGTTTTCAATATAAATGTAAACAATAATAATCTCCAGCTATGGCTCTATCCCTGCTCTAATTCCGGTTAGAAAGTTTACAACTGCTTACGACAGCTTATTCTGCGAGGCGATATTTTCAAACGGATAATTTTGTTTTCAATAAAAGAAGTAAATTAGATAATTTCTGAACTCAAATCTGATGCATTTCATAAGATATTAATGTTATTAAGTAATTCTGGTGAGCTTGAAGTGAAAATTTGTTTTAGTTATTTATAGGTATAACGTTAAGAAAGGTGACATGGTTGCTAGATTTTGAATAGTTCGCTTTTTTGGCAGTCCTGATTTGGTTTCTTTCCATTTGTTTATTACTGTTTGTTCTTGTTGCAAGCTGTGCACCATCTTATGTTAGTGTTAGCACCTTTAGCATTGTAAACACGAGTAATAAGCAATCAAATACCACGTTTGCAAGAATCTCAAAACACAATGATCACGTTGTGAGCCAAATGGCTTTAAAATGCACCGTAAACGGTAATCCAGAAATATAGGCGGCATGGAGCTTGCAGCTTTCCCTAGTGAAGAAAACACCATTCATATCTTTCTGCTCATTGGTAATATCTTATCCATTACTGTCTTGCAAGTTCGGTCTTAAGTTAGACCCCATAAAAACGAATCTACATGAAGGAGATACAAGCTTATGTCTTTTTGGAGTTCTTCATGTTTCTTTCTTCCCCCGTGTTCCGTTTAGGCAAGACGGGGCACTAGATGTAATGCTCTGTTTGTGACTAAAAAATATTCTTTTGCTTTCGTAAAATGACATCATATTTTTAAAAACATAAAAGTATAAAGGGCGCAGAGCTAAAAATAGATTCATAGATAAATACGATAAGTTTTCTTCAAGAAGCACTATATTTAATCTTATTATATATTTCCATCATGAAGCAATATGCTCACTCTAAAAATCTATAAACAAATTTAAAAACACTTGAAATTTTCAGAATTTAAAAGAATATATTTTCTTGGAATGAAATACTACAACTAGCATTAATTCTTTTCCTATAATCTCGTCATTCCTATCTTTAAATTTTAGAGCATATTTTCGAGTTTAAATTTTTTAAAAATGGCGATTAATTAAATGGGAAACTTCTTTTCTAAAAGTAGCAAAAATAAAATTCATCACTCGATTAGGATGGGGGAATTATTTTCGATTTTCCCTTTTTAATTTTAATTTTTTTCTCTGACAAAATTTATAAAAGTATAATTTCCGATCGAAATGGGCTACGGGTGGCGTAGAGCAGAATCCATGCTCTCTACCTATGGCAACATCTCGCATGCTTTCACCATTAGCGTGTGAAAAGTCAAAGTAGAAAGAAGTACGTTAGCTTCTGTTTTGATTTTCAAATAGATTAAAATCTTTTAAGTTAAGAAACTATATGAAACTGAAAACTACATTAAACATAGTTCAAAAAGAAAGCTTCATGGAAATTTAAAAAAATATTTTTAACAATTAAATATAAAAAGTATTAAGAAAAGGAAAAATATCGTAGTACATTCCTATACAACTGAAAAGAGGAGGACAGGGAAGTGGGAAGGACCAAAGGTATGGAACCGCTTTTCACCCCAGATGGCGTATTCGAGCGTTGCGATCACCTATATTAGCAATTGTTGCTGGTGTTGCTTGGAGTAAAAAAAGGCACTTAATTAAGTGATTTGAAAGAATAGAATGAAATTCGTATAGATGATTACATGGGACCAGAGCACAGTCAGACTTTGATCAGCTAGACTTTTTAAAGTCCATTCAGTCTTCTCTTTCTGCAGCGACGCTCATTTAACAATAAATTTTTCCTTAATAATTGAAATAGATTATGATCTATGCAGGATGTTTCGTAAAGATCTAATGTGTATTTTTAAAACATCTAATTTATATTTTTAGAATCATTATCCTAATGAAAACGAAAAAGTGAAAAAATTGAGTGTCGCAAATTAATATTTAAGTAAAAATCAAAAACACTGTCAAAATCCAAAAAATTACAACAGAGGAAGACGGATGTTATAAAGATTGAAACAGGAAAAGATCAGAAGTGTTTTCAGTAATAGTCTTCCACATTATCTGTTTCATCTCGCAATAAAACAATTGTAAAGCAATAAAACTTGTAAAGCAATAAATTACGGAAAATAGTTAAAAAATAGTGAAGCTATTGACTCTCTAAGTCAAAAAAACAATGTTTAAGAGAGCTTTTCGATCAATATCGCGTCAATAGAAATGTGTTTGTGCTAAATTATGTAAAAGTAAGAAGACAGCTTTATGAAAATTTCACAGGCGTCTTCCTTCTTATTTAAATAAGTAATTAAATAAATGTATTCATTTATTCATTAGAAAAATTGATGAATTTTTTGATAGAGCGTGGTAGAGGTAAGTTCCAGATACCATAAGGCAAATTCCAGTTACGCAATAGAGATTCCCGAATCCCCCAGCGGCAAGTATGTTGAAGAGTGGCTGGTGCTTTCAGCTCAAGGTTCAATTCCGGAAACATATATTTCAACCGATTTCTTATATCTTCAATACTGGAGCCAGGAAAATAAGTTGCCATAATGAAAGGTAATTCAAAAACAACTTTCTGAGGATTATTTGTCACTTTCAATAGAATCTGTAGATTTCTCCGAAACCGAAGGAAACCCTGAAAATAACAGTTCAAGAGCATATTTGTAAGCGGATCCTCTTGTTCGCTCGTAGGTGTTTTTATGTACCACAATAGTTGTTTGGCAACGCTCTGAAAAATGGGGTGAATAGGCTGTAGAGCGCTGTCTGTACGAAATCTGGAAAAAAAAGAGGAAAGAAAAAATAGATGTTTGTTATAGTAAAAAAATTGATATTAAATCTAATCCATAAAATGGATCTTACACATCAAACGCACAAATAATTTTAAAGCGTTTAATCATATCCAAAATTATAGCTCTTCTGCTGAGAATGAAATAAATATGTTTATTTTATGTGGTACTATAAGCCCCGAGCTGTATTCCACTGTTTCCCTTGGCAACCCTATTTTCTTTTCTCTTTTTTTTGCTAAACAGACACTCTTAAAAAGAGCGGACATTCTTCAATTGGGCATATGCAACTCGAGATGGAAAGTGATTATTCTTAACTGTGTGATTTAATTGGATACATGTAAGTGACGTCACGCGTGTATGTCGAAACTGATTGGCTTCTGAATCAACAAATGCCCTGATTTACCTACGATGATGTTACTTGAAGGTATCCAATTGAATAAACTGATAAAGAAAATTATTCGTTTGTGACATTGTCGTATTTGTATTTTTTGGACATATTTTATGCAAATTATACGCGAAAGCTAATGAATAAAATGATACTAATATCTAGACTAAGAGAAAAAATAATTTTACTCCTTTATGATGCTTTTAAACTAGTGAATTAGTTGTATTTTGCATTGTGTAAACAATTTTTATTTCAAAAATTTTAGGAAATTCTAAGATCATGAAAACATCTCTACTAAATAAGATTAAGATAACCTTGATTGGTAAATTTGTTTTAATTTTTGGAATTTTGAAAACTATATATCTTTTGATCTGTAACCAATTACGTGAAAAGTGAAATTTTTGGCTAGGATTTGCAAATTAATATTTAAGCCAGGAAAAAAAAGTTTTAAAATTTTTCAAATTACTAGTAAGGAAGGTAGGAAAACTACAAAACTAGTTTGATTGCCAGATGAAATTGCTAGTGTATTTGAAAATCGTCTTTCAACTCCTTTTAGTTTCCACTATCAAACAAGTTCGATGTTTTCAGTCCTGCTATCCATGGTAGCAACTTGTAAGATTTCAATAGCGTTTTCGTTTTTTCCTCACTTAAACATGAATTTTCAACCTTCAAGAAAAATAGAATAAAAAATACTACAATATATAAGACAAAAGTTTGTCCGATTGAATAATACATAAGGTAATAGTTCAATAAGAAAAAAAAATATGAACATCATACTTTTCTAACTTCATTTTGACAATAATCTTAAAGATCAAGAGCGGTTATTAGAAGACACTCTGAATATTTAGAGCGGTGATTAATGGTACGCTCAGGATGTCATAATCGTGTCTAAAAAACTGAATTATTTTAAATATTCCAATTACCTCAGACCACTTTGGATCAAGATAAGAACACATCTCGGTTCGGAGAAGAATATGTATTTAGAGTATAATTGTGTCAATTTTTCAGGTATCACTTCCATAAGTTGCTTGCCATCTATAGTTATTCTCAGTTGGGAAGCATGGTGTAAGAAATATGCCAAAGATGAACAAAATACTAATCTCTTCTCTTCTTGGCTCTGTTTTATGATTTCAGGTGAATTTGTCTTATAAGAGCAAGTTTGGTAAAGAATGAAAAGTATTAATTGAGGCAGGGCAGTTGGTTTCAAGGCGCTTATGGTCTTAAATACTTCGCGTACAGTTCCACCAGTCTCAATGTTTTCTTGGAAACAAATATTGGGTAAATCCTCCATAAGAATCGGGTAACTTTTACAGATATCAATGTAAGTTTTGTTCGTTTCATAATACCGAAGAAAGTCCAGTATGCTTGCTTCAAGATCAGAACTTAAATCCGATTGAGTATTATCTGTATTGAAATTTCTTAATAACTGAAATCGTCGGATAAATTCATCTGTTTTATCTGTATCATATAAAATTTTATGTTTGAGGCATCTTTTCGAAAACAAATGAATGGACATTCTAGAGGAAAGAAAAAACACAAAGGATTAAAGGGATGATAAATGTCATCATAATTTTTAAGTCTTTTATTTTAAGGCATGCTTTTAATTTTAAGTCATTGACTTTAAATAATTTTAATTTTAAGTAATTCCCAATGTGAGAAGTTTTATCAGCATTTTTATTGTAATACATGTCATTTATCATATCATACATAATAGATATACGATAACTTTAGCTGTGCTATCACACAAAAAATTATATTGCATCCTGCTTCAAATTGATTGCCATGGTTTGTGACAAACGGGCAGTAAAATGTGAAATTCCTTTTAATGAAAAAGTACGTAAAATAAATAAGTAACTTGAAGTGTCATATTCAAGTATCAATATCGATTCAATATTCAATATCGGTTTCTGGATTCAAATTAAATTAGAATTTAATTTGTTTTAAATTGGAATTTAATTTTTTTAATAATAAGTAACTTGAAGTGCCATTTTCAATGATCATATCGGTTTCTGGATTCAAATAAAATTAGAATTCCTTATTATGCATCCATTATCATGCGTTAAATGCTGCAAAAATTTTAGTTTTTCGAAGTGATAAAAAATCAGTTGACAAACAAATTGCTATGTGTTTAATAGAGACATATAAATAAAATGAATTATAATTGCGTCGAACTAAATTTGTATTTTTCCGCGTTTAATTTAATAGAAAAGTAAAGATTTATAGTAGTGTTCCGTTAAAAGAACTCCGTAAAAATGAAAAAGCGAATCCGGGAGCACAGAGGCAAATCTTCACCTCAACGTTCTTTAAAAGTAAAGAATAAGAACTGGAGTGAGGCAGACTTATAGAGGCAATACCAGACAAGCCTCGCCAAGGGCTTTGTATAGCTTTCGTATATATGGCCATCCTGATTGTCGACTGTGTGATTCTGAAGAACCTATAAACCAAAAACATCTCCATCGTTGTAGGTCAGTCCACAGACTTGACTCCAAGACTGCTAAATATATAACTTCGGTCTTTCTTTTACTTTTTATGATTCCTTCTGCTGTTTATTGTTCTTCTTTGTTGTAATTGATTGTTTTCCCCGCCATTGGAAATAAAAGAAAAAAACTTCTTTAAAAGGAATACCGATGGCAGTGGCAATTAACCTTACAAAAACATCAGTGTAGGGTATACCGGGTAAATGAATAGCGAGCAACGGCACTTAACCTTAAGAAACATTAGTGGGGAATAAACCGGGCAGAGACACTTAACCTTAAAAAAAATCTATGTAGGCGTAGAGTATACCATGCAGTGGTAACCTTAACCTTCAAAAAATATCAGTATCAAAATATATTAAGCAGTGAATTTGACCTTAAAAAAACAACAGTGTAGAGTATACCGGGCAGTGACACATAACCTTAAAAGACATCAGTGTAAAGCAGGGATAGGCAAACTAAGGCCGCGGGTCTACTGTGACCCGCCGGAAGGTTTCATCCGGCCCGCTGATAGAATTTTAACTTGCCGATGCGTTGCGAATATAAGCAATATACATTATACATCCACTTTATATTAGAAGATACGAAATGGCATTTTTCACAGATCTTCTTCGTCATATGAACAACTTAAATGTTAAGATGATAGGGCAAAATCAATTCATTGATGATATCTGGGCCCATCTCAAAGCTTTTAAACTGAGGCTTAATTTGTTTGCCGGGCAGCTAGCTGAGAACGACTTGTCTCATTTCTCAAGGTCAAATTCAATACCCTCAGTAAATAAGGAAAAGCTTAAGAATTATGAGGATGACTTGAAAAAACTCCATTTTCAGTTTTATGTATCAATATTTCAGTGCCAGTCAAACAGAATTAGATATTGTTACCATACCTTTCAGCGTAAATTGCGAAACAGTGAGGTCGGATTTGCAGCTTGAATTAATTGAGTTGCAATCTAACAATCATCTGAAGCAGTTGTTTCTAAATGTGCCAAATTTTGAGTTTTACAAATCATTACCAAAAGCTAGTTTTCCAAATTTAATAACTCATGCACAGAAAATCAATACTATGTTTGATTCATCTTATATATATGAACAAGTGTTTTTGACTTTGAACCTTAGGAAAAATCATTTCAGAAGTAGACTAACAGACAATCATTTAGCCTCGTTCCTTAAAATAAGCTACTTCTCACTTCGAACCTCAATATAAGGAACTTTTAAAAATAAAATCGCAATTTTATTCATCTCATTAGATATTTAAATTAAAACTTGCACATTGTTTCTTTATTTTAGAAATTTTTACTTAGACCACCAAACTTTTCTTTTTCGATTTTTGGCACTCGACCTAAAAATTTTGCCCCTACCTGGTGTAGAGTATGCCGAACAGTGGTACTTAACCTTGAAAGAAAAAAACATCAGTTAAGAGCATGCTGGGCAGTGGTACTTAACCTTTAAAAACCTCAGTGTGGGGTACACTGGGCAGTGGTACTTAACTATAAGGAGCTCCTTGATAAATAAGATTATTAAAAATAAGAAAACGGCGTTTATAATAGATTGATTATTATGTTCGCGTGTAAAAAAAAAATTAACAATCAGCAATGGCTTCCTTTAACAGAAGAGTACAGATTTTAATTTTCATTTGAATAGCTTCGAAGACCTTAATTTGTATTTGGGAGCTTCTGAGATAATATGTGACTACTATTATATATTTTTCAAATCAACAAACAAGTGTAATCCTTGTATGTGATATGAGCAGAATTTCCCAAAATTCAATTCTTGATTTTATGCACTTAAAACATACGCATTAGCTGGATAACAGACGAAATCCCTGCGCCATAATGTTCGCCAATTTTAAGAAGTATTAAGAAAAAGATGAAAGAATAACTGTGGAAAAAAAATTTACTATTTCATGCCTACTACGGTGTAAATTGATTTTTTTTTCTCTCCTTATGTTTTTTAAGGCAATTTTAGCTGATTTTGTCTGATACTTAATTAACGGATAAGTACTTATTTTAATTAAATATTTTCTTTGTATTGTAAAGAAAGAAGTATTAAGAAAAAGGTGAAAGAATAATTGAAAAAAAAATTCACAGTTTCTTGTTTACGGTGTATATTGATTTTTTTTCCATCTTTATGTTCTTCAAGGCAATTTTAGGCAAGTTTGCCTGATAGTTAATTATCGTATAAGTACTTATCTTAATTTGGCCTTGATATAAGCTAATATAGTAATCATTTTTGTAAATAATACAAAATTACCTTTAACCAGAGCTTTGTAAACCCCAGGCAAAATTTAAACGGAATATTGAAATAAATTTTGAGAGGCAGTAAATTAAAAAAAAAGTGTAGTAGTAGTAATCTGACGGGCATTTGTTAGTATTTATTTATTTATCTCACTTTTAATAGCAAGGCTGCTTATGCACACTTCAAATCAGTTTTCCAGTTTAAAATATCCTTTCAAACTAGAGCTAAATCTTTAGTTAAAGTTTAAACTAGAGATTAAACTTTAATAATCTGAATAAAGTGATGAAGTCTGAATGTTAAAAAGTACCTCGAATAAGTACTGAGAAGAGAAGAAAACGAATTGTCCTGTGAATACCTTAGATTTAATAATGATAAGACTTATCTTCAAAACAGTTATTAAAAAATGTATCAATTAGGTACTTGCAACTCGAATAATGTATTTATAATAGTATTTCGTAGAATATTCGTCTAATAGTAGAATAATATACGAATACTCCTTATAGATAGGGTTGCATAAGCGAAGAGTAAAAAAAGTGCAAACGAGCTCGTCCAATCGCGTATAAGTCCAAGGGAGAGCGTCCAATCATGTCCATGTCAAAGGGAATAAGTGTAATCATCCAAATCAGCATAATTTATTAATCTAAGACATGAATTAAGGTATTGGAACAATATTGATTTATCACACTATTAACGAACTTTTTTTTCACAACCTGACGGTCCCTGTCACTTAGTTCTTTTACAGGATAGGGTTTGTCTAAGCTAAGAACTCCTCCCGCCACAAAGTCTGTGGCCGTCTGGTGTTATGGAAACAAGAATGGCCCATTTTAGGGAGGGTAGCTTCACCCTAGGACTAACGCAATAGACCGAAGAAAGGGATTCCCTTTCCCTCTTCGACCCGAGACGAAACCACTCCAAAACAGTGACCCCGCACCCCTACTTGATATAGTCATACCTCGTTACCATAGTCACCACCACAGGTCCAGACGAATGTCTGGAAGAGTTCTTATTTTAGACGAACTGTACATTACAAGTTTCCGGAATTTCGATTAAAAAGCATAGGCATAGAAACATCTTATCATGAAAATCGTGGTGTTTTTCACCAAAATATTTCTGTTTATTTTAAAATATGGCTGATCATTTTATTTTCCAAAGCTTTTATGCTTTTTCTTGAATTAGCGGTTATCGCCTGCATAATTTTGACAAAAAAAGTTTTTTTTTGAAACCAAAAGCAGGTTTTTCAATTTAACTCTCAAAATTTCAGTGCACAAGTTACTTAAATTTTGTATGAGTGTTTAAAATCGTTGTGGCAACTTTTAGAGGCAGTTTTTGCTACGTAGTATGACATATTAAATGTGGCTGCCAATTTGTTATAAAATAACAAACAAAAATTCTAAAAGCTAACAAAATACTTAACTTTTTGATTTCACTTTAATTTAAAAATACCACTAAGAGTTCAAGAGCTAAATATTATATAAAAACTTAAATTCTTAATATATCGTGCTCGTTAAAATACCTTGTTTTATAAAAAAATATGCGAAAAGTATCCACTTTCCCACATCTATTTTATCTTTAACCCTTTGTATCACCGCGTTACATATCTGCAACATACATGAAAATTCAATCCTATAATAAGTTGGATTTACCTATAAAATCGAACTAAATTCAGGTAAGAAAAATATTGCAAACTCGGGGGAACCAAGTCGTTGTGCAGCTACCAATATTATAATTCGTTTAGCAAGAATTGTTCCACGACATAATTGCAGGATATACAATTTTTTTGCAACAATCCCCTTAATTGTATATTTGGCTAAGGAGGGATTGAAAAATGTGGTGTGAGACTTTGTTACCATAAAAGCAACAATTTCAAAA